TCACAGTACCATGAGGTGGTTGTTGTAATTGTTCATCTTAGTCACCCTCTTCCAAATTTAGTTTTCCTCCAAAGTTCTGGTGAGCCTTGATCACCTATTCATATTAATAAATGAAAGGACCATATACTACTTAGTACTTATAAGAAATAAGCATTTTTTCTCAACAGCTATGTTTATCTGTCTTCAAAACATGCAAATGAAATTTTTGTGGGTCTCTGCAGGTAAGCAGTATGTGAACAGACAGGTTTCCCTTTAGAAGTTTAGAAAAAGAAAGCAGTTTTCCTTTTTGCTGCCAAAATAAGGTAGACTGTATTTATATTGTACGGTCCCACCCTTCTCACCCAATCTATGGTGGAAGTTCATTATTTAAAGATCTGTGTTGTGCACTTTTTCTAGTTCCAGATCCTGCTTAGAATGTCTACCCTCAACCCACCTCAAGGTAAACCCCCTTCTTTGCTTGAAAAGCTGTTCTTACGCCTCATCTTAGGAACCAATGCCATCGCTAGAGCTCTTTCATAGCAAAGGAGGGAGAGAGGAAGTAGGAGAAGCAGCTGTTTTGTAGACAGTTCTTTACTTATTTACCCTATTGTTTTATCATCCCCAAACCTGATCCCTCTTCTTAAACTTGTTAACTTTATGTTTAGAGTTTGGGGAAAGAGACCTACTAAGAGATTCTCTGACTTCATCATGCAGCAGGAGAATCTATTTTGGATTGCATTTTATTTGGTGCTGTTTTCCTAATCAAAATAATTCCAATTACTTTTGATTACCCGGAAATTCCTTAAAATTCCTGGTATTATTTTAAAAAAAATTTTTTTAGCTGCAGATGGACACAATATCTTTATTCATTCATTTATTTTTTATGTGGTGCTGAGGATCGAACCCAGTGCTTCACATGTGTGAGGCAAGTGCTCTACCACTGAGCCACAGCCTTAACCCCCAAATTCCTGGTATTATAACAATAAAAATAATGATAGCAGCTAACATCAATTCCACATTTGCTAAATGTAAAAAATTCCAAGTGTTTTATATACATTATTTCTCTTGATTTTCATAATTTTAAGAGATACAAACTATTATCATCACCTATCATCATCCTAATTTTATAGATAAGAAAACGGAGGCAATAAAAAAATAAGAATAAGCAATTTGCCCAACGTCACACAATTGGCAAACAGCAGAGCCTGGATTCAGACACAAATAATCTGGCTTTAAAGCCCCCCCCCCCTTTTTGTTTAATATAATTGTGATTTATTCATTGTTTTATATTTGTTTTGCCATTTTTAGTGATACCTAAGAAGTAGAGGAGGTAAATGGGTACTTTCAGTTCATTATTTCATGATGGAAACACACCATTTTTACTCCATCAGAACTGTTCACTTTTAATGGTAGAAATATATTTTGAGAAGATGCGGGATCTAGTGAAGAAATTTAGTGACAGAAAGTAGGCCAAATGAAACTCTTCAATCACCAAAAGAAGTAAGGTAAAGGATTCCCAAAATGAGAGGCTTAAAAGTGGCTATTTCCAAAGTGTAGATAAGTTAAAAAGAAAAAAACCTAATGAAAAATTAAACAATAGCATTTTCATATTCTTAGCAGTTCATTAGTTCACTGTTACAACCACCAGAGAGAAGTTGAGAACATACTAAAATTTTAGACCCATCCTATGCCCTGACAGCAGCCTTTTAAATAATTCAACTCAAACACACATGCACTATGCTACAAACTAGAGATAAAGAAATGAGAGGCACTGTCCCACCGTCCCTGCCCTTACAGAGCTTACAGTCTAATGGGAGACCCAGACAAGAAATAACTATAATTCCATGAGATAAATGTTAATACAGGTAGGTACACAGGGTACCACAAGAACAAAGAGGGGTCAGGTTTGCCAGGGAAGTTTCCCTGGAAATAAACCTTAAGACTAAGTGTTAGAGAATCAAAGTGGAAATGGGCCTACCAAAGAGGTTTTTCTGGGAAAAACAAAAAACTTTTAAACTAAATGTTTAAATGATAAACTACTGTTAGTTTGCAGAGATGAACCTGAATTATCATGTGTTTCCTAACCCTGACCCCCTTGTCTACCTACATAACACCTAGTGAAGACACTATGGTGTCTTTTTTGATTCTTCCCTCCTCTTCAATTAATCACTAAATCTTATCTAATTCACCCCCCAAAATCAATCCCCTACCCTCCATTCCTACTATAACTACCTTAAATCAGTCTTTGTCATTTCTCACCTTGATAACTGTGATAATTTTGTAACTGGGCTTTCAATTAAATCTCTCTTCTGGCTAAAAAAACAAATCTGATCGTGAACTTTCCTTGACTGGTGTTCACTAGAGCCAGGCCCTCTCCAGCTTCTGCCCACCCCTTTCCTACTATGCTAATTGAGTAAATGCCTTTACTCAAGCAACTTGCTGGTCCCAGTGGTTAGGAACACTCCAACCTTTCCTTGCTAACACCCAGTCTATAAGCACAATCATTCTGAAAAGTTATCCTGAGGGCCACTCCTTTCTCCGCCTCCTCCCCTGAAGCTGGGCCAGGAACCTCTTCTGTGTACCCTTTTGCCACAATGCCTCACTGCAATACTTATCACAAAGAATTATGCTCAAATTCCTTTGTAATTGTCTGTTTACCTGATTCTCTACGTCTATACATCATCAAGCTACGACAGTGCCTGACATACAGGAAGCAACTGAGAAAGAATGAAAGAATGAACAAATGAACAAATGAAGATAGTTAAACCTGAGGAAGTTGATGAGACAACCAAAGGAGATCATGGAAAGGACAGAACACGGAGCCAATACCCACCTTCAGTGGGCAGGAAGAAAGAAGCTAGTGCAGGAAACAGAATGAATAACCAAAGGGTAGAAGAAAACATCTAGGACCCTATAGCAATGCAACCCAAAAGAAGAGAAAAATTTAAGAAAGTGCAGTTGGTTCATAGCATCAAATACTACAAACAGCTCAAAGAAAGTGAGCACTAAGACAAGGCCACTGATTTAAAGGAGGTCCTTGATGATCTTGACTGCTACTGCTGTTTACTACTCCTCACTCTTCTCAGAACTGTCTAAGACCAGCTTTCTCAGCCATTGTTTGCATTTAGGGATTACAAATAACCAAAAATATGAAACTTACCTGTGCAATATTTTTTTCCATGATTAAAAAATTGGAAAAACAGAAACTATACAAAATAAAATCCCACCATCCGAATATAACAGTGATTTCGCTATCCCCTTTTTTTATGTTTATGTTTTTATATTATTATACTGAATTCTATATCCTAATTAAACTGATTATGCTTATATTTAGTAAGCATAATTATAATAATAAGATTAAACATAAATAATATATTTAAATAATAAAGTTTAATTTTAATGCTTCATTCAGCCCAAGTTAGATTTTGCACTGTGAATCAATAAATTAGCATTCCAATTTATAAATTAAAAAAATATTTTATAGAATTAGATGCCTGCTTGGCCACAAGTATACAATGGTTTTTCTATCACATGCTGCTAAAATTACCTCTTAATTTTTATCAATAACATTATTTTACTCTAAAATGTGGCATGCTACACTATTTAATCATATCTTGATCCATTTAGGCCTGGTTTTATTCTTTTCATGCTCTGGAGCTTGGCTGCTAAAAATAGGTTAGGCACTAGATATAGAAACTTCTATAGCAGCTGCAGGATTTTTTCTTAGGTTTTTGTTTTAATCTCTTCAGTTAAAATTAGATATACTGGTTTATAAATAATTTAATGAAGTCTAAATTACAACATGCTTGTCTGACAATTTGTTATATCTGGAAAAACAGTGTGAACTAGAATTTTCAGTCCTGAGATTTTCTTTCTTTTTTAAAAAAAGAAAAATTAAATATACTTTTTAGTTGTAGGTGGATAATACTTTTATTTTATTTTTTAAAAAATTTTTTTAGTTGTCAATGGACCTTTATTTTTTATTAAGTTATATGCAGTGCTGAGAATCAAACCCAGTGCCTCACATATGCTAGGCAAGTAATCTACCACTGAGCCACAACCTCAGCCCTTTATTTTATTTTTATGTGGTACTGAGGATGGAACCCAGTGCCTCACACCTGTTAGGTGTATGCTCTACCCCTGAGCCACAACCCCAACTCCCCAGATTTTTTTTCCATAATTATTGGATACATTTTGGTGGAAAAAATAAAAAGTAAAAGGAATGTGACATGTGTAAATCTAAGAACTGCAAGTCAAAGGGTATAAACATTTTTAAGGTTTCTGATACATTTTGCCAAACTGAATCCAGAAAGGCTGCATAAAATTTATACTTCTTCCATCTGAGCTTTGTTTTCCCATATAATTAGTGTATGCCAACCCTAGCAAATAAAAACATCTTATTTTTTTAGTTGTCACGTTTACAACAGTGAAAATAAATATATATATTGATATATATCAATATATATTGGCATTTCTTTTTTATGAATTAATTATTCACATTTCTTTACCTATTTTTCTTGTGGGCATTTGCTTTTAACATTGATTTATAAGAACTCTTTATATACTCATGATATTAACTATTTGATACAAATATTTCCCCCTTATCTTTTTATTGATGGGATCTAACATAAAAGGGATATTTTATACTATCACATAAATTAATCTTTTATTTTTTCCTTGGAATCATATCTATAAAATTGTTCCTACATTCATATTTTATGGATTATTTACTCAAAGTTCTAATATAGTTACAGTGGAACACCACTGATATCAATCAATGAGATGATTTATTTCTACCATCTAATATACATTAAGAGATTCTAACTTCTCAAAACTTATAATTACAGTTCCAACAGTGAACAATATGAAGCACAGGTTTAAAACTAAGTTCTAGACTTGTCTTACTTCAAATTTAGCTATTCAAGACAATTTTTTAAGAAAACAGTTTTGGATTTAGAAAATTCATTCAAAGTCCCCTTTAACCCATATGAAGCACAGATCTCTTGCTAGTTATCACCCACCTCTCAAAAACCTGTTAGGGATCCTTATGATGGGACAGGACTGAATGAAGCGCCTCCTAACTGGGTCCCATCGTATTTTCTTCTTACCTGTTACCACAATTATCAGCAATAAGTCAGACACATACAACACATGGCAAATAATACAGTTACTGTAGTTATAAAGACAGAAAAACAGGAAACAAAACAATACTTGAATACAGAAAGAAAGTGATGTACAGTAGCATTTAATTCTGTTTTGGAAGTCAAAATTAAATTAATATATAAGCAGTGATGAAAATTTTAAACTCTTATCCCCACAAGAATGTAAACAATTGTGTGCACCTTTCTGGGGGATTGGTTCAGTTAGTACGTGCACTCAGTAATCACCAATGCCATCTTGTGGCAAAAATTTACCAGAAGCTTTGCAAACAGATTAGAAACAACATATTTTTCTAAGTCAGTGAATGTCAAAAAAGGAGCCCTACCCCACACTAACTGGGCATAACATAGGCTCCTGTTGTCTTCACGGCTCGGTACCCTTATTTTATTAGTTATAAATCGATGGTCACCATCTTTTAAGCACAAAGTAAGTTGATCTTATAATTAAAATTATATGATAGCAACCAAACAGAACAAACATTTACTATCTTGGCATTTCCAGGGAGTGGAGGAAGTTCATCTGCCTTCTCAGGAAACGCATTAGCTTGTTATTAACCCCAATTAAAACTTGTTTTTTATAGAACAGAAAAAAATGCAATGCATTTATGAAACTATTAAATGGGGTGATTTTTCTCTCTTCCCAAAGTTGAGAGCTCCCAAAGATAGCTCTTACTGACAATAACAACAATTAATGTTTGTATCGTGAATAAAGCTAAAAAGAACTTTCACATATATTTCCTCATATAATTCTCACAACAATTCTGTACTGATTCAATAGTCATTTTATCAAGCACCTGCTAAGCCTAGATCCCTGTGCTACAATCCAGGGTTGCAAAAGATGGATATGACTCCTACCCTTAAGAGCATAGGCTCTGGTGAGGAAGGCAGATGTATAAGCAAATAACAACATTATAATCAAGTAAATGCTGTAACGGAAACTGTCAAAACACTCTGAGCAAGATATTATCATCATTTTATAAGTAAGAAAGCCAAAGAAAAATTAAGTAAATGAATGCCAGAATCACAACTCAAACCTAGGCATTCTGAGTCTAAAACCTGCCTTCTTGTACTATACCACACTTACCCTGTCTCAAATTCCCTAGAAAAAGAATAGTCTTTGTTTTTGGCAATTGGAGGTATATTTCAATGTCCATCAGTGAGGTCTAGTTTGCTTACTAAAGAATTTATACATGGAGATACACAAATTCTGTGTAATGAAATGCCATTACCTGCATACAAGCCCTTAATATTGTGGAGAAATGGATTTGTGGGTAAAGGGGAGACTTACTTATCTTTCAAAGGGTTTATCTTTTAATTCTCTAAATCTTTAAATCAGTGGTTCCCAAATGTTGGTCTACAGTCTACCACTAGGCTAAGATGAAGATCCCCAAACCAACATAAAATGAGAAAAATATGGACAAGGAAATAAGTTTTTCAAAAAGCTAAAATGTTGCTTTAAGTCCTATCCATTTCTCACAGATCTGAAACTTTTTCTTATTCAATATTTTGTATTTTATGGGATAATAGTGACATAAAATGGTAATTGGTTTTGTTTTTTAATACTCTTTCTTAGAAAAATAGAATACTTTCAAGGTTATATCTACTTTAAAATAAATAAATATATGTTTGAGTTTATAAGTTTATGACATCCAAAAGTCTGGAGAAACACTGCTTTCAATCAATAAGATATGTGTTGATGGCTTCTGAATCCAACACTGTAAGCCACACTGTAAGAAACTTCCCTTACCCTCTAGAAGCTTATGTTCTAATCAGGGAGACAAGACACACATAAAACAATTAGGTAGCAATACAAGACAGATTATTAACAAGTGATCAGCTTAAAATTTGACATTTTTATGTATCAAAAGTGTTAAAATGTACATACCCTTTGACCCAGCTATTCCACTTCTAGGAATCTATTCCTAAAGAAACAATCATAGATGCATAGAAAGATGTATGGACAAAGATATTAACTATGGTATTACTTATAATGGTAACAAATTAGAAACACTTTCAATGTCCAATGATAGGGAGATGGTTACATAAGTATGCTAAATAAACATACTTAAATATGTTCATATTCTATACACCACTTAAAAATAGTATATATGTCTGTTTATTAACATGACAAGACATTCACAATCTATTGCAAATGAACAAGTTATAAAATTGTATTAGAGTGTGATATTTTAGTACAGAAAAAAAGTGTGTATATTTATAAAAAAAGTACTGGAAGAATATACATCAAATTTTAATTGTGGTTATCTTTGGGTGGTTATTAGGAATGATTTCTATTTTTTCCCCTTTGTGCTAGTCTTTATTTTCTAAGCTCTCTCACTGAATAGGCATTATTTTGGACTAGAAGAAAAACAATACAACACTACTGTAATTTTTTTAAAGTATGATTTAAAAAATACTGGAAAGAAACATACAAAAAAGTGTTAATAGTGGTTATGATTGGGTTGGGATAATCATCGCCTTATGTGTTACCTGAAAGCTTTATAATATATTATTTTATTTGCCATTTGAAATCTAAAACTACTTTAGAATACCACTGAGGAAATGACACTGAAAATTAATGAACCAAAGCTGTAATCAAAGATCCTTTTTTGGGCTGGGTGTAGCTCAGTGGTAGAACTCTTGCCCAGCATGTGCAAGACCCTGAGTTCAATCTCCAGCACTGCAAAGAAAAAAAAAAAAAAAAGATCCTTTTTTAAATGTTTTCTCAGAGTTTCTTTCAAACACTTTTGGCATATTTCTCTCTCACAACCAACATGACCGTCATGGGCAAGTTCTAAAGTTGTCTCTATGGAGGTTATTCAGGCAAGGTGCACACTAACTTCGGAACCCACCTTTCTTCTTTCTCAAAAAGCAGGAAAAAAGGTAAACCAGCAAATAGCAGGTTAGCACTAACAAACGTGTATTTACTCTTTTTTTTTTTTTAAGAAACACATGCCTGTTAAATTTCATATACATTCCTAGTCTTAACTTTTGTTCATGAAAGTTTTCATTTTATGCATTCAAACTGCCAAAGTGTATTTGTGATTGCTTGCAATCTTCATCAAAATAAAAAACATAATTTCTTCAATTATTTCATCAATATTTTTTGGAAGTTTTCAAATTTTTTTTTCTTCTTTTAGTACGTTTACTTCACCATAAAGACAACATCCAGAGTCACTGAGTGGATCAAGGTGGTAGCTAAACACACTGCAAGCAAACTCAGCTTCCAACATCTCATTAATAACACAAAGCCATTAAAAAAATCCATAATCAAAAGAAAGCAAGGGAAAAAAAAAAAGCTTTTACACACGTTAAAAAAAAAAAAAGAAAAGAAAGCAAGACTAATACTACGAGGAATCACTATAAGATGAAAAGCTGATAAAATCAGACTGAAGGAGGAAACTAGAGTACTATACTCCCAGAATAAAGGGCTAGGACAAGTAGAAGTTCCCAGGGTAAAATAAGCCCAAAGATGGAAGACAGCAGGAAAAATTGAAACAATTTACAAAATTTACAGTACAACTAGTTGAGGGTGACAAAGAAGTTACACAGCAGATTAACCTCTTCCACCCATTCACCTGTTTAAGTCAAAAGAGTTGTGGAATAGAGGTATTTGCTCCCAGATGGGAATAGTGGCAACAGACAACAAGAGTCCTGTGTGGGAAGGAACAATGAGTGTGAACACTTGGACAGACAGAACAGAGCCCTGTCAGTGTGAATATTAACAATTAGGCAGAATAAAGGACAGCTATGCTAAAGAGGACTGGCATACTGGTACACTTCATCTCATCACACGTTCAGTGTCATTGCCCTCTCATCCCTTCCCAGTATCAGTGGGGACCTGTTACAATAGATAGATGTGACATTCACAGGAAGGCTAACAAGGACTCTCCAATAAGGATGAGTGAGCATAAACCTAAGATCCAAATGTGAAAAAGTAGAAAATATTTTAAAAGTTAAGATACTAAAGAGAATGGAGAATGGAGCACTGTCATGCTATTTTTTTTTCTTTGCTGAATGAACAGATTAATCCTCAACTTCATGTGAAAATGCAAGGAACCCAGAATACCAAAACAATTTTGAAGTTGGAAGACCTTGTACTTCCTGATTTCAAACTTACTACAAAGATAACTGCATTCAAAACTGTAGTAATAGCATAAAGGCAGAAATACAGATCAATAAAACAGAAATGAGGGTTCAGAAGTAAACTCAGACACCATGTCTATTGGTTTTTCCCTCCAGTATTAGGGACTGAACCCAGGATTACATTCCCCATCCCTTTTTAAGTTTTTATCTTGAGACTGGGTCTTACTAAATTGCCCAGGCTGGCCTCAAACTTGCAATCCTCCTGCATTAGCCTCCCTATGTAATTGGGATCACAGGAGTGCACCATGCATTTGGCTATTGATTTTTAATTTTCCTTTTTTGTTTTATTTTAATTTTTTGTTTGTGTTTTCTGTAGGACTTGGGATCAAATACACTTTTAAATCTAGAATTCTAAACCTACCCAAACTCTTATTCAAAGATAGAAGAAAAAGATACTATGGATGTGCAAGTACACAAAAGTTTGCTTCTCTCAGAATCTTTACTAAAAAATGCCAGTCACAATAGTACACATTTGTAACTTAACTACATAGAGGGGAGCAGAGCACCAAGGCAGATGGATCTCAAGTTCAAGACCAGGCTAGGAAACTTAGTGAGACCTTGTCTTAAAATATAATAAAGAGCTGGGGATGTAGCTCAAAGGCTGAAGGTTCCTGGGTTCAATCTCCAGTACTGTGGGGAGTTTGGGGGGAGTTCAAAGATATATATATATATATATGGAATAAAATAATAAATAATAATCTAAGAATAACAAGGCATAAGAAAAGAGTAAACAGAAGAACCTTCAAGTCTAAATAAACACAGATAAGGGGGAAAAAAGAAGGACAAAACTTTACTATTAACAT